GTGTGTGTGTGTGTGTGTGTGTGTGTGTGTGTGTCAGGGTTTGGAGGAAACTTGCTAGGAGCCTGGTGGGGATGAGGCAGGTGATGCTGGGGAGGAGCGGGGGCTGGGCAGAAGCAGGTGCTTAGGGCCCGGCACTGCTGTTTTCCGGAGCAGGCAAGTCCCAACAGAAGGCACACAGGTGAGGCTGACCTGACAGGTTCTAGAGGCCAGGGGAATGGGGCGGAGCATAGTTCTGATTTAGGGTGGCAACAGACTGGGGGCCTGCCACACACAGGGCAGGCTGGCAGGAGTAGGCTCTGCTGGTGTCTTCTCTCTGATGCAGCCAGCCTGGGTGCAGGCCATGGAGCCTGCTGGATGGTGAGGGCAGCCAAGTGGCAGCGATGTTCAGAGGCCTGGGAACCCAAGGCACGGCAGGACCCCTTCGGGGCCGGGTGGAGGCGCTGAAGCGGCCACAGTGGCGGGAGAGCTCCCCACTGGTGCTACAGCACAGCGAAGCAGCCCGGCTGGCGGCTGACGCCCTCTTGGAGCAGGGTGAGGCTGCCTACCTGCGAGTCATCTCCGAGGAGTGGGAGCTTCCCTTCCTGAGCGCCCTGGACATAGACTACATGACCAGGCATGTGCGTGGGGGTCCTGAGCTCAGTGAGGCCCAGGGACTAGAGGCCTCGGAGCCCGACCACCTTAGCCTGCTCTCTGAAGCCACTTCAGGCACTTACTTCCCCATGGCCTCTGACATAGACCCTCCAGACCTGGACTTGGGTTGGCCTGAGGTTCCACAGGCCACAGGCTTCAGCCCCACCCAGGCAGTGGTCCACTTCCAGCGGGACAAAGCCAAGAACATCAAGGACCTTCTGCGTTTCCTCTTCAGCCAGGCCCACACGGTAAGGGCCTCATCTCTTCAGACATTTATTTCACAGATGTGGAAACTGAGGCTCAGGGAGGGAATAGGACCAGCCCAAGGCCACACAGCAGTGTAGGGGCAGCATTGGACTAGAACTTCTGCCCTCTGTCATATCCCGAGCTCCTAAAAGGTGTGTGTACATTTTATTTACCTTGGTAAACCCCTGTTGCTCAAGAACATTATGGATAATCATAAAACAGGGGATGGACCTCAGGGGCTCCACAAACACCCTGAAAATGCATGTAAATATGTGCATGTTGCAGGGAGGGGTCCTCTGCATCTTTCTTGGAAGATAGTCCATGGCCTTCATCAGAATCTTGAAAAGTTTATGATCCCCAAACTAAGAACCCCAACCTTGGTAAACATTTGAGCTATTCCCTTGACTTACAGAGGAGGAAGCTGAGGCCAGAGTGGGGCTGCAACTTGCTCAGGGTGGTCCGGTCAAGTGAAATAGAGCTCAGGACTCAGAAAGAGAAGAAGAGGTCCTGACTCAGGCCCTGGGCCCCAGGCACGGCTCTGCCTCCTGACGCATGTCACCAGCCACACCTCACCTCTTGTGCGGTGTCTCCAGCTGGACCTGAAGGAGGGAAGGGGCCCCTGGTGCCTGGGCCTTGGTGTGGCCTTGAGGGCTGGGCTTTTAGTTCTGCACCAAAAGGAATGAGGAGTGGAGGCTGCTGGGCTCAAGGATGGGGAGCAGGGGCTCAGGAGAAAGAGATGTGGGAAAGCAGGTGGGGCACAGTGCCTGGGAAGGCTCCAGTTACAGACTGGCATAGCTTCACTCCTGGACCCCTGACCTCTGACTCAGGAGGCAGGGGAGTGGATCAGATGACTTCAGGCAGGATTTGAGGTAGGTTAGACTCAGTGCCTTGCCTGGGAGAGCAGTGTGAAGGGTGCCTGCTGCGGAGATCATGAGCCAGGATGCTGGGATCCCACAGGTACCTCCAGAGCCCCCCTGGTAGGCCTGCGCCCCAGGCAGGGGAGTGCCAGGCCTGATGAGCACCAGGACTGGGGTTATTAGTGAGATGGCTGCTGTGGCCACCCCTGCCCTTTGATCGTCCCTGCCTGTCCTCATTTTCCCGACCCCTGGCCAGGCCTGTGCGGTGGATCAGCCTCTGCCTTGCCTCCTCCCTCCATCTAGATCTGCTGCCTCTGGGCCAAAAGCCAGGCTTGCACGCTGGACTGTCACTGACTCTCAGAATAACCTTGGGAAGTGCTTCCTTTCCCTGCCACCCAGAATCCTTGTTTGTTATGGAGGCAGCAGGAAAGGAGCATTTATTGAGCTTCTGTTGTGTGTTGAGTATTTTCACACTTAATTCCCCCTAACTCTGAGATGTAGCTATCATTATCTTCATTTAACAGATGAAGCAACTTACCCAAGCTCACTAGGAGTTAACAGAGACAGATTCCAACACAGTTCTGTCTGGCTCCTGAGCTGCAGTGCTTTTCCCCTCCTGCCTCTCAGCCTGGACTGGGAAAGGAGGTTTTCACAGTGGTGATATGCAATGGGAAGAAGGGGCAGTGGGGGGCTTGGCAGTGTGAGGAGTTTTTCAGGGCTTCTCTGAGACAGCCCATTATGTAAGAGAGGTCACAAGCCCTCAACTGAGCAGAGAACTTGATCCTACTTGACATGGGTGGAAGTGAGGGAGTTTGTGGGTATAAGATGTCACACCAAACCTCTGCAGCTTCACAGGGAAACTGAGGCAGGTTTGGCAAAGCGCACTGAAGACCTCTTGCAATAATTGACTTACAGTTCCGATCCTGTAGAAGGGAGCCTCAGACAGACAGCCCCTAGGTCAGAGCTAGGGCTGGAGCTTGTGGGGAGAATGTGAGGACCTAGACTGGAATCGGGGTCTGGGTTCTGCATCTGACTCCTTACCCCCTCTGGGCCTCAGTTTTCCCATACGTAGAGTGGACTTTTAGTGTAGTCGATCCACAAACATCTTTGAGAATCTAATGACAGATAAACACTCTGTCCTCAGAAAGGTACACACACACAAAATGCACATGCTTTCAGCCTCTAGAGGTTCAAGACAGGAAACCGCCCCATGCCTTAGTTAGGAACTCCTGGGCTCAGTCATTGCTGAAAGTCCTTCTGCTTCAGATGTTCTCATAACCCTGGCTCCCTGGTTTTCAGTCTAGTGCTCTTTTTCTGGGTTCCCAGCCCTTGCTCCTGGGCTGGGCAGTGGCCCCGAGTAGGGCTGAGCTTCCCCCTTCCTCCCTCAGGTGGTGGCTGTGGTGATGGATGTATTCACTGACATGGAGCTTCTGTGTGACCTCATGGAGGCCTCGAGCCGGCGTGGCGTCCCTGTCTACCTGCTCCTGGCTCAGGAGCACCTGCTGCACTTCCTGGAGATGTGCTACAAGATGGACCTTAATGAGGGACACCTGCCGGTCAGCAAGGGATGGGGGCACCAACCAGGGAGGGGAGTCAGGGAAGGCAGAAGAGTCAGTCGGGTGGTCAGTGAGCATTGGGGGCCTATGGGAGTGGGGTTCTAGATTCATCCCTTTAGCTGGTTAAAGTCAGAAATTGAAACATGGCTTGAGTCATGGGATTTAAACATGGCTCGAGCCCCAGTCTCTCAAAGTCACCCCCCAAACTACCTCCCTCCTTGGCCTAGAACATGCGTGTGCGGAGCATGTGTGGGGACACATACTGCAGCAAGGCAGGCCGCCGTGTCATGGGGCAAGCCCTTGAGAAGTTTGTCATCATCGACTGCGAGCAGGTGGTGGCTGGCAGCTACAGGTGAGCAAGTGGAATGGAGAAGGGCCTGGGGCTGGGCCACTGATTGGTGAAAGCACCTGGGGTCTAGCAGCTTTGAACTTGCCTTCATCCTTCCATCCCTTCCAACACAGTCTGAGCAGCTGCCATGTGCCAGGCATTGTGTGGGGCTCAAGGGAAAATGTGGGAAACAAGACAGCCCCAGGCTGGGGCCTGGAGAGGAGCTTTAATGCCCTTTGCATAGAAAATAACTATTGCACCTCAGAACTGGAGGGCCTTCAGGGAACCTCACCTATCGTCCATTTTTTAGATAGGGAAGTTGAGGCCCTGAGATGGGAAACCATGTGCCCAAGTCCACTAAGCTGAGCTTGGACAAGCACAGACTTGGGAGTCTGAGCTCTGCCCCCTTCCTTGGGCCCTCATGATGGTGGGGTTGTCTTGGCATACTCCCCTGGCTGTGACTCCTGCCTACCCCCAGGCTCCTGCACTTTGCTTTCTTGACCCTGACCCTCTGCCCCCAGCTTCACCTGGCTTTGCAGCCAGGCCCACACTAGCATGGTGCTGCAGCTGAGGGGCCGCATTGTGGAAGACTTTGACCGGGAGTTTCGCTGTCTGTATGCTGAGTCACGGCCTGTGGAGGGTTTCAGCGGTGGCGAGGATCTCCTGTCTCCCGGGGCACCGTGTCCTCCCCCAGTGGCTCTCGCCTTTGGCCCTGGCATCCCAAGCCCCACATCCTCGTCACGGTCCAGCATCAGCCTGAACAGCATCAAGCACTCACCTCTCATGGGCCGCTCCTCCTTCCTTGCTCTACCAGGAGGCAGTGGCTGCAGTGACATGGGGATGGAGTCCTCCTCCATGGGCTCTACCCATCACGAGGCCAGTGGCCAGCCCTCCCTGCAATGCCAGCTGTCAGATCCTAACAATGGCTCCCTGCTAGGGCCCTCCAGGGCCAACCTGGGCAAGCTAGGGGCCTCCCCGTGGTCCCAGTCCTCTCCTGCCCTCAATCACAATATCCCCAAGCCTATGACCCCGATAGTGGGGTCACCTCTGTTCCCATGCCCACATACCCACCTCCCCTTCTCACAGGGTGTTCTGGCCCTTTCCCAGCTCCCAGACAACTGCCTCCTGGGAAGCCAGGAGCCTAGCCCCCTCCGGGGTCGCTGGGTACCTAGCACAGGCCTGGAGACAGTGGAAGAGAAGAAGGCGTCTCTGAGTGAGAGCCACGGCCAGCTGGACCTCCTCCTCCCTTTCACCAGAGCTCGAGAAGCAGGAGGCCCTGATCCTGGGGTTAACTCCAACTCAAGCTCCCTTTGGCCTGGTGAACAGGCCTCAGAGGACAGGCAGTTGTCCTCAAACCAAAGATACAAGCAGCTGGATCTTCTGCCCTGGGCCCAGGGTGCTGGGGGTACCCCTGAGTCAGCTTCCTCCAGACCTAGCAATCAGACCCCAGAAGACAAGAAGCTATCTCCAAACCACAGCCATAGCCAATTGGACACCCTGGTACAGTGCCCCAAGGCAGGGGGCTCCAGAGTGTCTCCTGAAGCCAACTCCTCAGCGAAGGCTGGCAAGCAGGGTCCAGATGAGCGACAGCAGACCCTGGGCCATAGCCAGTTGGACCTCATCACAAAGTTTGGCCCATTCCGGGGAGAGGGGCCTGGGCCCAATGGTCTCCTCAGACAAAGCTCTGCTTGCAAGCCTAGAATGGGCTCTGGGGATGAGAAGCGGCTGACTCTGGGCCACAGCAAGCTGGACCTCATCATCAAGTATCATCAATTGCAGGGTGCCAGGCAGGAACCTGAGCCTGGCCTTCCTGGGGTCCCCATAGGTGGCCCTCACAATGGCAGTAGCAATGGCCTGTTTGGGGATGAGAAACGGCTGACCCTGGGCCACAGCAAACTGGACCTTATCACTAAGTATAACAAGTCCAAGTTTAAGCTTCTCCGAAGCCGCTTTGAGTCCTAGTCCTGCTTTCAGCAGGGACATGCCCCTCCTTCATCCACTGAGACTAGATTTGCTCATGTCCCAGCTTCTCAGGAGCTTAGGCAGGGGCAGCATGGGGAAAAGAGGTGTCTAGAAGCCCAGGTTAGACACTCACAGGGCTCAGGATTCTTGTGTAACACACACACACACACACACACACACACACACACACACACGGAAAATATAACCCAGAGTATTTACCATTTGCCACTGTGCTGGGCACATCACACTTCTTACTTCTCATCCTTTATCTATACAGCATCTCACAAGATAGACCTGTAGTAGGTATACAGTTCTAGGATCATAGGTATTCACTTCCTTATTTTATAAATATGGTAGCTGAGGCTCAGAGAGTTTGATGACTTGCTTGGAATCAGGTCCAAGTAAATGGCAGAGTAGGGGCCCAAACCTGTATCTCTGTCTCTTAAGATTGTTTTTGCAGACACAACACATAATATCAACAGTCCACATGTGTCCACATACACAAAATACAGAGAGGCCCCTAATGACTGACAGGGTTTCATACCCACAAACTGCATATCCATAGACACACACAGTAAGTACACATAGGTCCATGTGATAAACTAAAACACTCACAATTCTAGTTAGAGGTAAATAAATACCATTTAGCTAAATGAACTGCAACACAAAATACATGCATTCAGCACACACTGTAGACTTCTCAGGATCCACAGACTGTAAATGTGCTCATAACCATGCATACACACACAGGCATGCATGCATCAACCAGTATCTTCCTGTACCTGAGCTGTGTACCCAACCCTGGTGGGACTGCCATAGGGCTGACAAATGAATTGGACTCAGTCCCTGGGAGACACTGGCAAGCAAGACAGAGCTATATTTAATTAAAGGCTAACTGGTGACAGAGGGTGATAGGGAATAAAGGGCAAAGGATGGTAGTGATGATGGAGTGGTGAGGAAGTTACTTAGAGGAGGCAGCCTTTGAGCCAGACCTTGAAGGATGGGGAGGATTTGGACAGATGGAAGAGAGGGTTGGAGGAATTCCCCAGTGGGAGGAACCAGGTGGAGAAAGGCCAGGGAGAGGACTGAAGGAGTGGGTTTGAGATGAACTGGGGATGGAGCAGATATGGATGCTCAGATTCTCTCTCTCTCTCTCACACACACATCATTTTGCTGAGTGTCTCTACAAACACAGGTTCTGACAGGTTGTGGGTCCTTTTCCTGAGCTCGCCACCTCTCTGGGACGGTATACATGATACAAATCAATAAAGGCAAACATGCTACGACCTAGCAGCAGCCTGCTGTATACTAAGGATGATGGAGATACAGAACTGCAAGTTGCTGGCAGGGAAGGGCACCATTCAAGCCAGTTATGGAGGGTTCCCTGAAGGAGTGGATGGTTGCAGGAAGGATGGGGAGAGGAAAGGGGTTGTGCAAATCCCCTCTCCCTCACTATGACATTCGGAGAGACTTTGGGGCTTTTGTAGATTCTACAGAATGTTGGCCAAGTTCATTCCATCCACTAGAGCAGGTGGACAGAAAGTGGCTGTTGAGTGATCAAGCATATGCAAGGAGTACTTGTAGAAGCTAGTCAGTTCCCACACCCTTGCCCACTTTGGACCCTCCCTAAGACCCTCTCCTCTCTCCAATACCTTCTTCAGCCTGGTGTCCTGTACTTTTCTGGCCATTCCTCCTCCAGCCTCTGACCTGGTCTCATTTCTCCCCACTGGATACATTCTCCATGGGTGACTTCATCTATCCCAGGCTTCAGCCTGAAACCTCAGTCCTTCACTCTCCCCTGGGCTCCACATCTCGCCTTGACATCTGTTCCCCACCTCACACTCGACGTGTCACCTTCCCCACACCGGCTTTTCTTCCTCAGACTTTACTTAAGTAAATACCTCCATCATTAACCCATCTTGTGGTAGACATCCCTCAGTGCTACTCTCCTATGCCTCACATCCAACCAGCCACAGATCTCGGTCGATTGTTCTTCCTAAAAAGCTCCTGAGTGAATGAATGAATGAATGAATGAAGCAACGAATGGATGGATGTGCATTTTGAGGGGACCAGGCGGAGTCTCAACCGGACCACTTGCAACCATAGAGGCCTCAGAGAGACTGGAGCTAGAGCGGCCGCATCCGTGGCTGAGTGCGCCGGGCTCTACCGGAAGTCTCCCGGGGCAGGGGCGGAAACGGAAACCTAGTTAGTTTGGCGGAGGAGCTGTAGCTGCGCCTGGTGTTTGCGGTCACCTGGTGAGCTGGTGTAGAGGAAGACCGGGTTGTGAGGAGTGGAGGCCGGAGGATAGGGCCCGAGAGTCTGGAAGGTCCCAGTAGCGGGGCTCGAGGTCTGAGGGGCGGGGTCGCGGCGGCGCCAGTGGGGCCGAGGCCGGGGACCCGCATCCGGGGCGGGGAGAGGATCCACCGCCTCTGAACTCCCGGTCCGGCATCTCCCAGGCCTCATGGCTGTCCGAGCGTCGTTCGAGAACAACTGTGAGGTCGGCTGCTTTGCTAAACTCACCAACACCTACTGCCTGGTGGCCATCGGAGGGTCAGAGAACTTCTACAGGTGCGGCGGGAGCCCCGGGGTCCGCGGGCTATGTGTGGACGGGTAGCGGGGAGGGTGCTGGGAGTCGGGTTCCGGCGGAGTGAGAGCTTAGGCCCTCCAACCCTCTACCACTGATTGCTCGTCCCTACAGTGTGTTCGAGGGCGAGCTCGCCGATACCATCCCTGTGGTGCACGCGTCCATCGACGGCTGCCGCATCATCGGGCGCATGTGTGTGGGTAAGCCAGGTGGAATACACCGAGGGAGGGAGTGGAGCCTCCCAGCGCCTTTAATTATACTCCAGGAACGGACCCGAGTGATCCAGAGTTTTCCAGTCTTTCATCCATTATCTCCAGAGACTATAGAACCTTTCAGGCCTGGGCTGAACCCAGCCTAAGCCTCTGGCAGATGAGGACAACCTTGGCGAAGGTTTCTAGGTCATAGTAGCCACAAGTAACATTAAGTACTTTCAGCCTTACACTTGTTTTAATTCCTCACGAAGATCCTGTGAGGGAGGAATTCTTGGCCTGATTTAACTGATGAGGAAGTTGAGACTCAGAGAACCCAGGTGAATCACCAAGTACCACACCTAGAGTGAGGAAAGATTGGAATGTCATCTGTCCTTTGCCAGTGACTCTGGGCATGTTGATTGCTCTTTCTGAGCATTCATTTCTGCCTTTAACAAATGACGAGCTCATAATCTGAATCAGCTTGTTTAGTTATCCATTTAAATCTCTTAAATCCCTTTACCATGTCTCTGAGTGTCATCCCTACCCTACACCCCCACCTAACACAGTTGACTCTGGCCATTGGTCCTGTCTTTGAGCTGGATCTGTTTCCTGTTACTACCATCCTTATTTCTAGTTCTGCTAATTGGAGCCATACAGGCTCTTGTTCCTTTATTTTTTCTCATAAGCTTGATGACCTAGGCCTCTGAGTATTTTTTTTTATTCAGGCAAACACACTTATCACCAACCATGACCTTAGGACTTGAAGCCCGTTGTGATCTAACAAGGGAGAATTTAGCCTGACCCCTGGTACTTTTATGATGATGTGTGAATACACCATGAGTAACTCAGACTTTAGAAGTTTAGAATTGTATTCTTGCTGAGGTAGGCAAAGGTTTTGTCATGTTGTCACAGTATGATGGTAGTTCGTTCTTACTGCTGTATAGTATGTTTTGTGTAAGTATACCACAGTATATTCAGGCATTCTGTTGACGGGCATTTGGGTAGTTTTCAGTTTTGTCTGTTATGCATAGTGCTGCTGTGTTTTTTAGTGAGCACATGTACATATTTCTGTTGGATATGGAATACCTAGGAGAGAAATGGTTGGGTCACAGGTTATGTGAATATTCAGTGTAGTAGATGATGCCAAGTAACCACCTGAAGTGGTTGGGTCACCAGCCTGTACTCCTATTGGTTGCTCCATATATCTTTGCCAACGCTTGATGTTGATACTCCTTTTAAAATTTTAGCCATTCTGGTAGGTGTGTAATGTTACCTTAATTTTTAAGTAGCGAATATACAACTAATTCCAAGATCCCTCCCTGCTAGTCCTGGTAAACCCTGGTTGGTGATGGTGACGTGAATAGGGTATGTTGGGGCCATACTCGGGGCCATCTCTGGCTTGCCCAGTGGGACTTCTAATTCCCCTGGGTCTTGTAGGTATCAGTGGGTTTTAGGGCTGGGGTCTGGGCCTAAAGCTTTCTTGGGGAAGCTAATTGAGCTGGATTAGCTCAGCAAGCATGTTGTGTGTTCATGGTTCATTCTTGCTCCATCCCCTAATTTGGGTCTTTCCAGGGAATAGGCATGGTCTCCTGGTGCCCAACAACACCACCGACCAGGAGCTGCAACACATCCGCAATTGCCTCCCAGACTCAGTGCAAATCCGTCGGGTGGAGGAGCGGCTCTCAGCCCTGGGCAATGTCACCACCTGCAATGACTATGTGGCCTTGATTCACCCAGACCTGGATAGGGTAAGGCAATCCAGTTTGGCCCAAGAGTCACAGGACCAGGCTAGTCAGTGGTTAGCCACCATTTTTGTCTATCAGGCAGGAACTTAGGGGTGTGGCTTGTGGTTTCTCTTTATACCTGGGCTTTCACATTTCAGGTAGTCATTAGAATAGTGATAATAGAGGCTTTCCATTGTGTGGTCAGTGTCAGAAAGAAACTGGGGAAGGTATTGGTCCTTTAGAATCATTCAGAAAGATTGATGTATCTGGTCCTGTAGCCAGGGTCGGGAGAGATGATTGACAGTTGAATTCTTGAGTATGGTTTAGAAGGAAGAGGGTGATGTGGATATCAGCCCCTGTCTGTTAGGATGTGCATATTAGAGGCTCCATATCTGGTCTAGAACTTGCTCCAAGTTGTATCCCTTCTTTTTTCTGGGTGAGGCTTTCAAATGCATCTCATAGCAGAGGAATGAGGGGCTTAGGGAGCCAAGCCCTAGGTGGTTCTGGGCATGGAGATACCCAAGTTCTTTGACTTGCAAGTTCTGAGTTCTGAATAGAGTGCCTTTGTCTGACAGGAAACAGAAGAAATCTTGGCAGATGTCCTCAAGGTGGAAGTCTTCAGACAGACGGTGGCTGACCAAGTGCTAGTAGGAAGCTACTGTGTCTTCAGCAATCAGGGAGGGCTGGTACATCCCAAAACTTCAATTGAAGACCAGGACGAGTTGTCCTCTCTTCTTCAGGTTCCCCTTGTGGTAAGCATTCCTCCTTCTCTGACCTCTGTCTCCTGCTGAGGCATATCCCATTGCCTGCTGTTCAGGAATCCAAGTTATTGCTTGTTACAGTTTGGGGTTGGGGCTGCAGTTCAGGGAGCAAGGTTTGGGGAGAGTCCTTATCAGGGAGGGAGAAACTGTTGATGCCATGATCCACACTGAGCCATCCTTTGGCAGGCAGGTACTGTGAACCGTGGCAGTGAGGTGATTGCCGCTGGGATGGTGGTGAATGACTGGTGTGCCTTCTGTGGCCTGGACACAACCAGCACAGAACTGTCGGTGGTGGAGAGTGTCTTCAAACTGAATGAAGCTCAGCCTAGCACCATTGCTACCAGCATGAGGGATTCCCTCATTGACAGGTATCTGGGCTTCTCTTTTGCCATTTTGAGGTTAGGGGAAGGAGATGCCACCTATAATGGGAGCCACACTACATTCATACCGGTAGGTTCTCCTCACATGTGAGGGCACACCCACGCACTGCTGAGCAGTCACAGAGTACAGCCAGCAAGCACTGTCTGAGCATCAGCTCAGCCCTGTCTTTGAAGACTTGTCCCAGTGTCCCCTCTCTGAACAAATCTTACCTCTGGTCCATTGTAGTTTACCACTGACCACATTGTTTTGTAGTTTGTATCTGCCTATGTGTGAGTGTCCCAGCTAGCAGCCTGAGACAGAGAACTTTTTACTGGGGGAAGGAAGGAAGGCTACTCTTAGGAACCAAGGAGACCTCAGGTGCCTGAGAAATTCAGTCTTTGGGGGCTGGGGATTGCATCAGAATCACAATCATCTGGATTTTGGTGGTTTCTTGGGCCCTAACCCCAGACCTTCTGGGGTGTGAGGCTCTAGAATCTCTTCTTGCTTAAGAGTAGCTACAGGTCCTGGATATTCAGCCTCCCCCATTGAGGATCTTTCTCAAGGCATGTGCACCCAAGTAGCATAGAGTCTTCATGAAGATAAAAACCCCAAAGTAATAGAGCAAGTACCCAGTAACAGACCCTATGCTTACTACTGGAGAAACTTCCCTTCATTCACCCATCTTCATTCATTCAACTGATGTTCATTGAGCCCAATGGACAAGGCTCCATATGGGATAGTCAGGCAAGTTAGTCCTATGTCCTGACTCTAGATGCTCATAGTGTAGCAGAGAAGATGTAGTGGCCACATGTAACTTTTAGCTACCTTCAAAGAAGAAATAAAAGGTGCCTTAAATGGTTTGGAAGCTCTGGTGAGACATTTTCTGGGATCCAGAAAGGTTTTGTGGAAGATTTAGTCTGGGCTTCAGGAAGTGAGTGGATATTTGAATATGCAGAGATAGAGTGGGGAAGCACTTGAGACAGGCAGAGCTGAGAAAGTGTGAAAGGTTGAAGACTCTGAATACCCATATCAAGAAGTTTCAACTGTAGGCCTGTGGTTTTGACTTTTAATCTATGTTGGGTTGCTTGTTAATGTAGATTCCTGGCATTGTCCTAGAGATACTGGTTCCCTTAGATCCAGAGGGAATACAACTATTTGTGCTTATTTTAATATGTTGCCCTGGGCGATTCTGATTGGGCATGGCGGGTGAGGCACAGTTTAGAGGACACTGACAAACTCGTCAGCACTGGAAAGCAGTTGAAAGGGTCTGAATAGGAAAGTGGTACCAGTGGCTTTGTCATTTGTTCAACAACTTTTTTTTGAGCACCCAATATGTGCCGTATAGTAGTGATGTGGTGATGAATGAAATACTCTCTCCCTTCCCTTTGAAACATAGAGTCTCATAAAGAAGGCAGTATTCACATAGTCATTTACTTAAGAAAACAAAAAACATCTTAGCAACTGAAGAATGGAAATAAATTTCCATAACCTGGTAATTGGTACCTAATAAGAAATTATAGCAAATGTTGTGTTTAACAGTGAAACTTCAGAAACTGCCATTAAAGACAGGCGGAATTGTCTTCACTTACCAGGACTGGGCAGTAATATTCTGCTGGTCCTAGCCTGTGCAGTTAGATAAGATAAAGAAATGGGTATTGGAAAGTAAGAAACAAAATTCATTAACTTCCTTTGGTTTTTAATCTCTTGCATTTGAGGTGCCCATAAGACCTCAAAATGAAGATGTTAAGTAGGCAACTACAAATAAGCACTTCAGTTTTATAATCATACATGTTACCTCCAGGAAGAATGTTCTGGCCCCAGCTATGTCCCTTCCCCTCTGTGATCCCCCTTGTTCCCTTCTATTACATCTGTTAATTTCTGAAGCTCTGGTTTATGACTAACAAGTTGAATAAATTATTGAGTGTATCCACCTAAGTGGGGAAGGAATTACTTCTGATTTTTAAGTTTTTAATTTTTGAGAGTTCTAGACCTGATTGTGACTCAAGGGAGATGTGGAACCTACAAGAGGCTCTGAGTGTGGCTCTTCAGAGCTGAGCCAGAATAGGTCCAGGGTAGTGGTGGAGGCAGGCACCTTGAGAATGGAGAGAGAGTTGTGCCCTGTGAAGCTCTTACTGACAATGTTCCTTCCTTTCTCCCCAGCCTCACCTGACTCACCTTCCATGCTGTTCCCTGGGCTTCTGGTTCTAGACTTGGCACCTTCTCCGCACCCCACTGGAGATGACAGAGAGCTCAATGGGAATTGAGTGACTGGATGCCCAGCCTTTCTTTGCTTGTGCTCACCTCCTGAATCTAGTTACCACAGAAATCTGCTCCATCGTGCTGGCTGTCAGGTCCTGTGGCTCTTAACTGAGAACTCTTGTTATCCTGTGCCACCCTATTAAAAGCACCTGACTCTAGCCATTCTGAATGTGTTGTTTGGGGGCCTTGGCCTGCCACTCTCTCCCTTAACATTGTTCCAGGGGGAAGATGGGGTAGGATATGGGTGCGTGCACATGCACACACCTCCATTTTACTATCTTCCACCCACCTTGGCCAGTCATCAAGATGGGTGGCTTCTTTCCAGAGCAAGAGGAAGAAGCATTCTCTATACTGTAGTTCTCACATATTCCACACAACCCTAGCCTCATACTTTAGGGCTTAAAAGGTTGAGAATTTGTTCCAACTGCCCTGGGCTGGTGTGAGTACCCAGTCAGGGCTCTGGGGTCCTTGGTTATCCCGTTTGACCCAAAGGATGGAGGTGGCTGGCTTGATTCCCGGGGTTTCAGACCAACCTCAGGAGGGGCCCCTTCCATTAGGAAACCGGGCGGGCGTGGAGCCGGATAGCGGCGGCATTGCCGGTGTGGGCTAGGGCGGCTCCACCTATGTCAGATCTTTGCGCAGGGCCGAGCCCCTCTGACGTTGGGGCGGGGTTGTCCAGTTGCTGGTGGGTGCGTCCGGTTTGTTTGGCGCCGCTTCCGGGGTATGAAGCTGCTTCCGCTCGGGCCCGGCGTGGCGCGGTGACGTCATGGCCCCCACACTTCCCGGCGACGCTGCGCAGGCGAGAGGCGTGCGGCGTGCGGGCGCTCGCGCTACCGTAAGCTGGAGAGCAGCGGCGCGAGCTCAGAGGTGAGGGTCGCGGCCCGGGCGGGGGCGGAGTGGCGTGCGGCCAGCCCTACACCTGACGGGCCTCTATCTCCTGCAGGCGATGGGCGCTCGGCTGAGCGGCGGCCAGGCCGCCCCGGAGCAGCCGCAACCCCAACCCCTACCCCAACCCCAGGCCGGGGTGCCCGAGGGCCCGGAGCGGCCCCGGCCCGAACCGGACCCTTGGGGGCCGCTGGACGACGTGCGTTTCCTCATCGCCTGCACCTCCTGGTACTGACTCGTTGCCCTCCGCAGTTACCGCCCGCCGTCTTTTCTATCTTCCTAACCTGGTGGGTCCCTTGCTCTTCGTGCCCCTCGGCGCCAGGAAACAAGCCGAGCTCTTCTCAGGACTGGAAGGAAGTCCCGGTAGGGCCGCCTCCGCAGCCTCACCGTGGGACACCATCTCGTCCCCGGCCCTTCTCGCCGCCCCTAATTTGTTCGCTTTCTCAGCCTGCACCCAAAGCACCTCAGACCTTGGTACTTATCCCCACCCTACAGCTTCTCCAGCTGTCTGGGTCCTGGGGCAGCGCTGCCTGTCTCTGGTTTCCAGAGCCAGGCCAGGCCTCCAGGGAAGACCCCCAAGGCTACTGACCTGACTTCCCCATATCTATTCCTTATTGCTGACAACTGGGCTTTTGCCTCTGGCATGGCCGCAAGCGTCTTGATTTCAGAGAAGACTTTGCCACAGTACCTGTTCCATACTTGTCAGGGAGGTTGCTCAGCTGTCCTGGATCCCAGTGAGGCATTACGAGGCTGTATTCCTGGGATCCCGGTCACAGTGGGCCTCCAGGGCCAGCTTTTTGGAGAGGGAACATCTGGTCGCTGAGCTGGCAGATGAGATCCTCAGGGCGCTCCTCCCAGACACCCAAACACCCATTCATCCTCTCCCAGAAGCCTCCTAAGGCCACTGTCAGAACCCAATCCTTGTTCCCGTATCCCAGGGAAATGACATACTCTGTATTTTTGTTTTATTTAGAAATGATTTAAAAAACATTATACAAAGGCTGATCAGTTTAAAATGTGACTGACACTGTAATGCTGTGATGTTCCCTAGGCTGAGGGGAAGCTGGGCTCTGGGTCCCCCAGTGCTTTGCCCCTTTGTCTGCTCTGTCCTGGGGTGATGGACAAACAGATGACCACAGGCAGAAAAATCTGAAACTGTAAGTCTCCAAGCTGAGCCCTCTCTGGGCCTGGCCCTGCATCCCTCACATCTGCAGCCTGGGCTGCCTGCCTCCATCTCCTGCTCTTTTTCAGCTGGCCTAGTTAGTACTAGGAGCCAGCGGGGAGCCTGGGGGTGGAGGGCCTAGAGCTTTCAAGAAGTGAGAGCACCAACCTGAGGAGTGAGAGGGACTAGGAAGGGGAGAAAGGAGATTAGGAAAAGATGGATAAAAGAGACACTTCTGATCTCATCTTGGACCCTAGAGGGGTCCACAGGTGGGGATCCAAGGCCCAGCCAGCCCACTGGATGGCCTGGGCAAGAAATAACCTCTCTGCTTCATTTGAGAGCACAGTAAGTTACCTAGGCCTCCCAGGGCTTACACGAATTTCATGTGAGTGGACAGGTGTGAGCTAATAAAGTGCTTTGCAAAGTATAAAACACTGTACAAACCCATGAATCACTAATTTCTCTGCCGTTGTCCCTCACCCGCCCCAGGGAGCCCGCCCTTGGCAAAAATGAAGGAAAACAGAAGGATGATGACAGGGAACACAGTGGACCCACATAGTTGCCTCTGGGACAAGACAGGTTTTGCTTGAGACAGCTCCCAGGGCAACAGGAGTCCTGTCTGCTACAGGTTAGGCTGACCCAAAACCCAGAGGCCACAGGGTAGGGGCAAGGCCCATGCAGGGTCAGAAGACCAGGTGGCATCGGAGGCTCTGCCAGCACCCTGAAGACTGCCGTTGTTTGGTTTGGGCAGAGAGCCAGCAGGCATCACTGAACCCATTGCTCTTGCCTAGGGCTCCTCAGTTCCAAGCAGAGCTGCCTCCACTGTTGGAGGGAGACAAGCCGAGCCCTAGGAATTCCTGCCAGAGGCAGTGAAGGGTGGGCCCCTAACTTGGGGCTGCTACCAGTTGGGGGTACCCTTTTCCAGAGAGCAGTGCAGGAAGAGGGCCCAGTGAGCTGGGTTAGCAAGGGCCAAGCTCATGATATAAACACTGCTTACAGGCTGAGTGTGTGAGTTGGCCTCAGGGTAGCTGGGGTATGGGTTCTGAGCACTTCAGAAGGCTACCATAGTCCCTGTACCCCAAGGCTGTGAGAATGTTGGCCTGAGCCAATTTTGCCTCCCCTAAATAGGCTGAGCCCCTAGGCCACAAGCTACAGGCTGGAGCAGGGCTGGGGAGTGGGGAAAGGAAGAGAGGAACAAGGGAGTGGAGGACGGTTGAACTCAGATTGGCCTCCAGAAATGGAGTCAGCTTCTGCCCCAGCCCTTTAGCCGTGTGAGCAGGGTCTAGCTCCTGGGGTGTCTGGAAGTTACAGTGGCCTTAGCAGCACCTTGGTCCATCTATTGCCTGGGGAAGGGCCAGCCATGCTGGCCTCATCACCAAGATAGTCACCTCTAATTCACCTAAAGCCTCAAGTAGCCTTTGCAGAATGGGACTTTTTAAAATGGTAGTGACAGGACATTTAAATATTCATGACATCACAGGTGGGCCAGAGCCCTGCCTGCGGCATGTGACCCTAAGTCCTAGGCCTCTGAGGAGACCCTGACCTGTGGAGCAGGTTTCCTGAGGGATCTGCTGTATGCCAGCAGGGGAAACCCAGGCTGTTGCCCACCATGTTGGCAGCAGAGGTCTTGTAGCCTTGGAGGACAGCGGGGTGGGGGCTGGGGGACATCTGACCAGCAGGTGTTGGCAAAGGGGGACTGGGACTGATGGCATCTCCCAGCTGGGGCTGAGCGCTAGTGCCTGCTTCCCAAGGAGGTGCTGAGTCCAGCCAGGAGCAGAGCTGTGGCGCTTCATGGACACCACAGGGTGCAGTTACCACAGGGTTGCCTCCTGGCATGGTCCCTGACTACTGATGAGGCCTGGCCTATTCCCTTGAATAGGGAACAGTTTACCCAGGACAGAAGGCAGGCAGCTGGGTGTCAGACACCCACCCTGGGGCACAGCCACCATCACCCCCTGCTCTATGCTTAGCCTAGGCCAATAACACCCACCACTTCAGCTGTATGACCCCTGGCCTAGGGCCCTGCTGGCTGGCCCCTGTGGGCTGTGGCCACAGTTGCCCCTCAGGCCCTGGTGAGGAAGGGCCTGGCTGGCCAGATAGAGTGGACAGAGAGGGCTCTGGGCTGCTCACACCCACTCCTGGACTGGCCGCTTATAGTAGGTGACTGGTTGAGGGCCTGCCTTGTTCTTGAACTGGAAGATGGTGTAGACCAGCACCAGGATGCAGAGGGATAGGATGCAGGGGATGACCACAGCCACAGCATTTACAGAGCCTGGCATGTCGTTGATGGTCACCATGATGTCCACGTCATCCTGAGGCAGCCGCCGCTCCTTGCGCCGCTCCACCTCCTTCTGGTTGCAGCCCATCCAGTCACGTAGGATATTGCGTGGGTAACCTGGCTCCACGCTCAGTTTCTGGTTGTCAAACTTCCAGTAGTCCCGGCCCTTGTAGAAGTAGGTGTAATCTGCAGAAACATGGCCCAGCATCACCACTCCCAGACACTTCCCTACACCTGATCTGAGCCATTGTGACAAGGTGTAGGGTCCTGGGCCAGCATGGACGAGGGGCACCTCTCCCATCCTGGAGAAACCCAAAAGGAGCTCTGAAGGAGGGGTGGCCATATGAGGTGGTGGAAGCAGAGTGCTGGAATGCTTGGAGGTAGGGGGAGTATAGTGCTTGGCGCACTCTGCAAATAGTGTGGTTGGATCATGGAGTATGACTTGCAGAGCTGCAGGGAGCTGTGCCCAGGACCTGGAGTAGCCCACCCTGTCATCTCAAAGGTGCTGGGAAGCCAGTGAGGGGCTTTAAGTGGGATTGGTAAATTCGGTTCATGCCTCCAGGACAGGACTCTTCCTGGGCCACAGCTCTGTCACACTGTGCCCGTAGCCTCCCTTTCTCCTTTCCCCATGTGGGTTATTAGATCAAACCCCTAACTATGGCTTGGACAGCACTGTCACCATAGCTCTAGGGCCTCAGTCCAGTTCCTGTCTGATACAAGAAAGGCAGGGAGCTAGATTTCTTCTGTTGATGGTGGATACCACCTCATTGTGATTTTTATGGATTTTTTTGGCTTGGCACACAACACAGATGCAGGTTCTCTGGGACCCTGCTGGGGGAGGGGCTGGAAGGAAAGGAAGCAGCAGGGCTGGGTAGCCACCCCATGGCTCCCAGCAACAACCTTCACAGCCCAGCCAGTCCACAGATGCGAAGCATCTCACTCAGACTCTCCTATTGGCTGGCTCCCCCCCCTAGCTGGGACTTTCATTGGCCAACATCTTTGATGTCATCTGTCTCTGAGGCTCTCAGCGAGACTGTGTGTAAAGCATCAGGTACACAGGAGAGCCACCAACTAGCAGCTCTGCCCTTGTGGCTTTTGGCTTTGTTACAGGTCATGTCTCCTCTGAGAGCCCTTCCCCACGACCCTGTTTAATGTGGACCCCCGCCCAGTTGTTCCCTCACTGAATCTCTCTCCCTTACAGCATTTGTTGCTGCCTTCTGCTTCTAGACTGGGAGCTAAGGATGCAATGCAAGTCTTGTTCCCTGATCCACCCCCAGCCCTCCCACACAACCTAGTTCTCAGTAGTTATTGTGGAGTGAACAAATGACTCCTGTCATTCCACATAAATTAAAATCAAGATGATGATGATAGCTAAAACTTACATTGCATGGGTCATATGCTAGGTATTGGTCTAACTGCTCTACATAATTTATCTTATATAATCCTCACAAAGTTCTATAAGATAGATGCCATTATTATCCCCATTTTATAGGTGAGGAAACAGGAAATTGAAGTGATCTGCCAAAAACTCATAGGGAATGGTGGAGGTGGGATGTAGAGCTAGCCTAGCTGTCTTTTGACCAGAGTTGGAGCTTTTGACCAGATCAGTGATGATGTAGTTAACAAACATTCATGGATGCACCTGGTAAGACCCAGCTCCTCCTCTTGAGAAGCTCCTAGTCTGGTGGGGAAAAGGCTATGAGCCAGCCTGGCTTCCAGGAGGAGCTTAAGAAATGTCTCATAACTGAAAGAGGCTTCTCTCTCTCCATCTTCCCACCCTTTAGCTCTCTGAAAACACACCTTTGAACTGCCCATAGCCATCGTTGCTTTTCAGATTTGGTGGCTTGAGAAACCCCTAGAGTATACCTGAGGACCATTGTATGAGAAATGCTGTCTGAAGGAATAAAGTCTATGAAAACATCTCTCAATTGTGAATCATCCTTGCAGATGAGAAACTGTGACCTGGTAGCTGGTAAGAGAGAATTAATTTACTGTGTGAACACGAGTAGCTAGGAGGCAGTTGTCCATACCACCATGTGGTGGTTCTTAAACCTGGATACCCTGAGAGTGTGCTTGTGGGCCCTGCTGACACCCATATAAAAGCAGATCCCCCACCCGGCCAGGCCCTTACGTACATCCTTCTTTGCTGATGAAGGCCCCTTGGGGAGCCTGTGGGATGCCCTTCCACACGGTGATGGGCTTGGGGTAGCCAGGGTCTGTGGCCCGCCGCTCCTCACTGTAGCGCCAGTACCTCTCGCCTTTGAAAAAGTAGGTCTTGCCCACAGGTTCCCAGCGCAGAGCCGTGTCAATGCCTTCTCGGGGCAGGCAGCTGCCTAGCTCCCCCAGGCTGTGGGGGTACCCAGGCTCCACTGTCACCTCCTTAAACACCCAGTACTTGTCACCTGTGGCCAAAAGGAGCCCAGAATCAGCCTTTCCTGTTCAATGACAGAGGCTGTGGCTAGTGCCACCTGCCCATCTTCTACTGAGACTGAAGTCATTCATAGAGCCAGTGTCAGGGAAGCAGTCCTAGGCCTGCTTGATCACCTCTGCAGGAGACTGAGGCCCACTGGCCCAGTCAAAGCATGATAGGCAAGAAGCTAGAACGTCACAGACTCTGGGCAACAAGCTCCTTGCCCAGGCTCCATGCCCCACCCCCTTTTCCTTTCATGTGACTTGCTCCTTTCACCTCTCTGTGTGATCTCAGCTGCTCCTGTGGCTTACACACTCGTACTCCCCCCGCCTCCCACCAGTGACACCCAGCTCTGAGGCTGTAGCCCACAGCTACCCTCCCACTAGATCCAGGAGCCCTGACTGCACACCTGCCTCTGGGCATTACCCACTGGCTTCCACGAGTCCTCATCATCACCCGGTGGGGGGCCTCCCCCTCACCATCTTCCTCCTCCAGGGTCCCCAGCAAGCCCCAGCATCACCTTTGACCCTCCCTTTCCTTCTCCTCTCAGCACTGAGCTCTTAGCTGTCATGTCCTACCCCGTCTCTGGCCTCATTCTCCTCCCTGGCATGGGCCTTGCAGACATTACTCTCCTCAACTCCAGCAACCTTCCCAAAAATGGCTTCCCTGCCTCTATCCTGTCAGATTGTTGCCTGCCTTCTGGCTTTCTGCTACTCAGAAACTCAGTGAATTTCCAGTGTTGCCCTAGTGGGTCAAGACCACATTCTGGCCCAGCAAACAAGGCTCCGCAGGGCTCCTCCCCAGACTCCCTTTCTAGGCCACCTCTCACAGCTCTTGGACGTCGAGCTCCATGGTTGTCCCGTGAGTTTAAGCTCTCTGTATATGTTCCCACACTACTCCTTCACCCATGCTCCTTCCCCTTGGAATTGGCTTTCCTCACGCCTCGCTATCTGTACCTCACCCTTCTGGGGCCTGGCTCAGCCAAGATAATCAAAGTGCAACAACCTAGTGCAGGATGGGCATGCCGTACATGTTTAGCTCCCCTGTCCCTGTCCCCTGACCTCTGCAGCCTGTGTGACTTCCTCCGGACTCATACAGAACTCATAGGATGGCCTTCCATGGAGCACTGGATGGTCTTCAGTGGCCTGATCACCCTCATGTGGGTAAGGCTTGTTGCCCCACCAACCTGGGCACATACAGACCCCTTAATAATCGCTTCCTGACTTGATTCCTGGAGATTGTGCATCACCTGCCTGCAAGGATCTGTCTTGTCAGAGGGCAGTGTCCCTGTTAAGCTGGAAGAACCCTAGAGGGCATCTGCTTCCCACCCAACTCTTCCAGTATATAGATGGGAAAAGGGGGTCCCAAGGAGGGCAGGGAACCATCCCAAGTCCCTCAGCCAAGGCCACATTACCTTTGAAGAAGACAAATCTCCCATCAGCCCTTTCATAGGCTGCGTCTATGCGGGCAGGCAGGCCTTTCCAGAACTGCTCAATCTGCATGGGGTAGCCCTCCTGCACCCGGTTATTGCGCAGGCGCCAGAACCAGCGATCCTGGGGGTGAAGGGGAGGAGAAAGGCGTGGCAGGAGTTGCCTCAACCTAGTGAGCTCAGCTTTGGGGCTCAGGCTCCAACAACACAATCTTGCCCTGGGCCCAACCTCACAACCTTCCATGAAGTTTGTCCATCTACTGCTTCTAATTTTCAAAGCCCTGTGAGGAAGACAGGATGCTCATTAACTCTCCCTGATGGCACTTGCTGCCCAAGGGACCTTGAGACAGTGGACAGCCTGGTGGGGGAAGATGTGTGAAGGAGCAGGAAGGGATGATGTTAGGACCTGGGGTAGACACATGAGGGCAGAGGTAAGTCATTACTGACAGCTGGGCCACTTGCCAGGCTGGTAGGAAACAGTATAGGCAGTGTACCCTCCTATGGGAATGGATCCTAGCAGGGCAAGGACTGTGAAGCAAGTTGTGGGAATTCCCTCAAGACCTGGGTGTCAATTCAAGTTCTTCCATTTACAGCTGCATGACCTTGGGCGCAGTACTTAAAGCTTCTCACCTGCAAATGGGGGTATAATGGGGAATCCGGTGAGAGACCGTAGGTGAAGTGCCTAGAATGATATGGGACACGTGGTTGACGTTGAATAAATGGCAGCTTAGTAGGCCAACAGTTTGATAAAAGCCCCTTCCTTGTCCTACCATTGGTAGGCAGTCTAGGCAAGACCTGTAACTTCCCATAACCTCAGTTTTCTTACATGTAAATGATAAAACCCAGACTTGCCTAGGAACTGTTCAGTTGGGAGGATCAAAGAATGCAGAAGAACGAACATGATTTGTAAAAGATGGCATAAAAACTAGAAAAGTCTTTGTAAGGTGTTTTATAAAGCACTTTCCCATCCAAATTTTTTAAACCTTATTTTGACTTTCAGAACGCTGTTGAGTAGATCTAAGATACAGAGAGTGTTAAGGAAGGCCGAGTGACTTCCCTAGAGCTTCTCAGTGAAAGGCACGACTACACAGGCCCACACTGCCTGATTTTTGCTTAGTGCTCAAAGCTTGATGGGGAGAAGTCCGTGAGGGGAGTGGGGCAGCCCCCCACAGCCCAGCCCCGTGTGACAGACGTACAGCCCAGATTCCCTTCAGTGGAGGGCTTGTTGCCCCAGTAGCCAGGAATGTGGTCACCAGGTAGGTTTCATCTGTCAGTCTCTCTGGGGATGGCCTCAGCTTCAGATAGCTCCCCCAAGGTCACCCCAACAACTGAATGAGGCAGGAGGTATAAAGTGCCAGCCATTCTGGGGCCCAACATGGGATGACTCTGATGGATCATTCCAGTTCCAGAATTCCCTGTGGGTGGCTGGACCTATAAGGGGTCTAGTTGCTGGTAATCCCTTTCTGCCCAGTCCTGCTTCCTTCCCGCAGATGTTGGTCCCACAGGTACTCCCTGGTGAAAATCCTGCACTCATTTGATCCTCATACACCCTTCATTAGAGGAATGGCTCCTCAGCTTTCAGATGGAGAAATTGAGGTCCAGGGGAGGGAGATGACTTGCTCAAAGTCACAGACCAGAAGGGGGTCTCCAGCACTTTTCCACAGCATTGGCCTCTGGAAAGGTGTAGAATCGCCAGTCTTCCCCTTCCCTCTTGGAAACAAGCTGATTCACCTGGCAGCACCAGAGAGAGATCCTGTGTCCTGGCCCCTCAGCCAGCTTCCGTCAGGCCCCACAGTGGGTCTGATCCCTTGGCAGCAGCCTTGTCCCACTCCATGGAGGGGGAAGTAATGAGAGGACCACCTGGGTGGCGCCAGTTGACAGGCCTTACCTTAAACACAAACATCTCGCCTCGGAAGAGGGCCACTGTGTTGAAGTTGCCATCACAGATGTTGGGTTTGGCACCAGGTGTGGATGGCCTGTCCCCCAGGGGTGGCCGTGGGGGCCTGGGCTGGCGCTCATGCTTCCTCTCACTTGGTGAATGGATCCTGCGGACAGGGAGTGTGGGGAGGGGCCTTGTGGGTTCCAGAGGCTCAGCTGGGGGTCCTGGAGAGAGGGGTTGCGTCTTAGAGCATGGCTAAAGGTTCCCTACCTCCCACTGCCATTGCCTCATCACCACCCAGGCAGCCCTGAGACAAGTCTGTCACCCTCTAGCCTCCTATCCCCTGTCCCATTTTTTATTCCCCTTATCTTTGAGAAAATAGATGAAATAGCCATTAAATGGGAACTCTCATTTTTCAACCTCCAAATCTGTTATCTTCTCTTTCTCTTCTGTTAAAAGAGAGAACATGTCCCTTCTTAACCTCTGTGTCCCCACCATCTCTCTGCTTCCTTCCATGCCTGCTGGCCCCACTATCTCACTCCCTTTCAGTCCTCATGTCACTCCAGTACAGCTTCTGCTCCATCACCCACTGAAACTGCTCTGTCAAGATGACCAATGACCTCCAGTTTGCCAAATCCAGGGGTTACTTGACTAAACTTTGACATGGATATGAATTAAAGGATCTTGATAAAATGCACATTATGACTCAGAGGGCCCAGGGTGGGGCCTGCAGGTCTGCATTTCTTCAAGCTCCCAGGTGATGCTGATGTCGCTGGCCCAAGGCTCACATTTTTTTGTAGCAATATCACAGAAACACTTTTTCCAGGAGAACCCTACACTCTTGGTTTTCCTCCTGCCCCATAGGCTGTTTCTTCTCAGCCTCCTTTGCTGAGAGCCCTTCTCATCCATCTTCTCTAAAGGGCAGAGTGCCCCTGGGTCTTCTGTTTTTGTCCCTAGTTCAGATTGTCTCACTGCATATTAGGATCACCTGGGGAGGTTTTAAAACTCTTAATGCTCAGAACACACCCCAGTTCAGTTAAACCCAACCTCTGTGGGTGAGGGCATTTTTTTTTTGAAAGCCCTAGGTGATTCCAGTGGGCAGCCAGGTTGAGAATCGCTACCCTACTTGGTCTCATCCAGGTGCATGGCTTTAAAGACCCTCTGTGTTGGAGCTGTCAATAGGATGTTCTGTGATGACAGGAAGTTTTAAATCTGCACTGCCCAATACGATAGCCTCTAGCCACTATGGCTTTTGGGCACTTGAAATGAGTGACGAGTTGTTAGTGTAACAGAGAAACTGAAAATTTAATTTAATTCAATTCTTATTAGTATAAATATAAATTTAAATAACCACATGTGGCTGGTGGACACCAAAGATTCCAAATCAATATCCCAGCCCAGATCTTGGAGCTGCAAACTGGTAAATCCTATTGCCCCACAATTATAAAAGCCAGAAACTTGATGTCCTTGACGCTCATCCCCATGTCTGATCTTTCAGCAAATCCTATCCATTCTGCTTTCAAAATACCTTCCAGTCCCTACTGCCCCTATGTGGTCCTCCCCTACTGCCTCATTTATGGAGGATCCTGGCCATCCTCCAAGGCTCTGGTTTGGGCCACCTCCTTTGTGAGGTCCGCAGGGCCTCCAGAGGGAGCCCTCCTCCTGTGCTTCATTGCCTGGGGGCGGTGGGGACCTCTTGTTATGTTGACATGCATTTGCTCAAGTGAACTGGTCTTCCCATCTCAGCTGACTTGACAAAAGCAAGAACTTCACATACTGGTGTGAACAGAGAACTGGGAGGGAAGCATAGTAGCAGGCCTCTCATATCTTATCGAGATAGCAGCCTAGCTTCTCATTTTTTCTTGTTTAAGAAAAAAGCTCTGGTTATAATACTTATCACATTGTATTCTCTTACTTGGGCAGATGTGTGAACCTCTTGGCTAGAGGCAGGACCCCTTGAAAGTGAACCACAAGAGGTGAGAGAGAAGTAGAGGGGAAGAGGGTAGAGAAGAGGGAGTTGGTGAGCCTCTACTCTCTTCTATCCCTCCCAGGGGCAGCTCAGACTCTCCCCTAGGTTTCCCAGCAGGGAAAGCCTTGCCCCTCTGGTCAAGCAAAGATATCAGAAGTCTCTAAAGGTCAGACAGCAGTCAGACACAGTGACTGTGCTGATGGATGGCAACCTCTGCCCCCAGCAAAGGCAGTCACAGCCCAGCCCCTGGGAAAGAGCAGACCCCTCTCCCCTGCCACACACCGTAGATCTTCTGGATGCCCTGGAGGTCATCCTGAGGCAGTTTGAAGTTGTGTGTCTCCATGTACTGGTAGAAGGGTGCCATGATGGCACTTGGGTCGTTGGAGTGCTCCAGTCCCAGTGCATGGCCCAGCTCATGCACAGCCACCAGGAAGAGGTCATTCCCTGTGGAGAGGAGAGTGGGGAGGGGCCCAGGGCACCCATTTAGGTATTAACAGTAAATCAAGCCATTATTCAGCAAACACTGAGCATAAATCCTATTAGCATAGGATTTATGCCCTGTGACATGCAGAGCAATCAAACACAATCCTGCTTTTCAGAAGTCTCTGTATCCTGTATCATGGAGGATGTGGAGAGAGAAACAAATTAGTGTTTCAGGTGCTTGTAGATGTCTGTAAGGGTCAAGTGAAGACTCCAAGGAGGGAGGAGTCATTTAAACTTGAGGGAAGGTGTTCAGAGAACACTTCATAAAGGTGAAGCCTTGAAAGATAAGAGAATGGTCAGGAGAATGGATTCAGGGGATAGGAGAGGAAGAGAGGTGGGGGTGGCATTCCTTGCAAATGGAATGCTATGAACAAGATCCAAGGACATGTAGTTTTATTCCACTTGGCCCTGAAAGCATGAGGGGAGGGCCAGAGAGCGATGAGGTCAGCCAGGCTGGCAAGCAGGGCTCTGTGCTGCCATGCAAAGGAATTTGGATCAGCTGCTTGGCCAGTGGGGGAGTTTAAGCACAAGTGGGGGTGGTGACATGATGAAGTCACTCTGGCTGTGGTTTGAGGAAGGATTAGAGGGTAATGAGACCAGAGGCAGGGGGTCAGCAGGATCAATTTGGAAGCCAGTAGAGGGGTCCAGGTGAGAGATGAAAAGGACCCAAACTAAGGCGGAGGTGGTAGGATAAGCAGAGGGGAGGCCTACGGTTGGCAGGCTGGTGGTCAGCTTCAGGAGGCCCAGGGCCAGGAAAGGTCCTGATTGTGTGGCAGCTCTCAGTCCTGTGAGACCTCAGTCCTAAAAGAACTGGACTACGGCCAAGATCAAGGCAGGGATTCAAATACAAGTGAAAACAACAAGGTCCAGGTGCTGGAAGTGGGGCTTGGGATCCTGAGTATGATGCTGAGGCGGCAACATGGCATAGTGGTCATGAGCGCTGGCCCCTCTATTTCCAGCTCTACCCTGACCATCCTTGTGAACTTGACTAGAAGGTCTACCCCCTGAGCCTCAATTTCCTTATTTGTAAAATGGGGAAATCATACCTCCCTCATAAGGTTGTGTGGAAATTGGATAAGATAGTATGTGTAAAGGGCATGGCACTGCATGGTAGCTGTTGTTACCATACAGAAGATACAAGCTAGGTGCCTCGTACAAGCCCATTGAGCAGAAATGAGGCCCAAAGCCAGGTTCCAACAATCAGATCATCTTAAAGTCAACTCTCCCGAGCTGCTGAATGAGGCCCAGGACAGGGAAGGTTGCACTTGTCTTTGGAGGGATTAAGTAATCACAGCTTTGGGAAAGAAATAGAAGGGGCAGGGACTTGGGCAGGCTATTGTATCAGTAGTCCTGCCTCCTGTCCATCTAGTTATAGACTCGTGCTTGCCCTGACCTCTGACATCTGAATGCCCCTTGAGCCCTGCCTCTTACTGCTTAAACCTAAGGCGTGTCACAGCCCATTCCTGCCCCCTCTAAGTACAGGGGAGGCTGCTAGGAGCCCAGGAGGTAGTCAGGAGTCCAGGTGCCTACTCTGGCCCCAGTGTGTCTGCTCTTCCTGCCAACATCTTGGGAAGAGAAGAGCCCTATGGGGCAGACCCAAATGCATGCGTGCCTGCTGCTCTGCTGACACCACCAGTGTCTTCAGTGAAGGGGGGGATGGGCACGATCAGTGCAAGGTTGGCCAAGAGCCTGGGCTGGCCTTCTGCTGGGGAAGGGCAAGCTGGCACGAGGAGGCCAGACTGCCCTCAGTTCCTTCCTCAGGTCCCAGTTCCTCTGGCAGCGGGGAAGGGTGAGCTCATCTCTGAGCTCCATCCCAAACAAAGGCGGCCACTAGAGCCAGCGGAAGGCAGCTCTGCTTCCTGGGGTTCAGTCCTGCACAGCTCTGCTCCTGGCCTGTTCATTAACCTGGGAAAAGCTGCTCAGGCCACCATCTATGACCTGTCTCTTCCTCAGGGGGGCCTCACAGGGATCTCAGCTGGGAAGGAACAGGGCTCTCAGCACCTGGTGAGACTCTAAACCTTTGTCCTCAGTAATGTCTATTACTCTTAGCCTCTGTGCCTGGGTTCTGCAGAGAACAGAAGGTCTTAAAGGAAAGGAGCCTGTGGGTGTGGTCCAGGGACCAAAAGGCAGAGAAGAGCTGGGAAACTGACATCCTACTACACAGAAACCCAAGACAATTGTTAAGTGGGGGCTGCTCTGGAAGATAGAAGGAGGCAGGAGAGGGGCAAGAGAACTCCTGGAGCTTGGAGGAGAAAAGCAGAGGGTGGAGAAGACCCTAGTGCTTAACAGTCAGGAGGCTGTTAGGGTTATCACTCCCCGACAGGGTAAGAGGCAGGGAAGCAGAGTGGGCAGAAATGTGGTCCCTGGGAACCAGATTGCCAGGAATCCCAGCTCTGCCATGTCTTAGCAGTGTGACATTTTAAATCTCTTCCTTTGTAAAATGACCCTGCGTGATGGCACCTTCATAATAATAGGGATGAAAATGAAAATGAATGATGCAAGGTATGTAAAGTGCTCATACCACCTCTTGGCACAGAAGTTCTTATCACTGTTAATTAGTAGGGTCATGTTGAGCTGTGTGTGAGGACCAGCATCTCTAACAGGGAGTGTTTCTGTGGGCTGGGAGCTCAATTCTTGGGCCTCCTGGCAAGTACCCAACAGTCTCCTTGGCTATCAAGTGTATCTTGCTCTGCTTCATTTCCTTGTCTTGGGCTGTCTATATTTGGTGAGTCCCATCTCATTGACTCCTCCAGCTCCTAAAAGGCTATATAGCATTTCTCTTTGTTTCTATTCTTTTGCCAGTGCTGACCCCTCCTCCTGGAATAGCCTTAACTCTTTCAGAGTTCAGCTCAATGCCACATCTCCCAGAAAGCCTTCCTTTATTTCCTCCACTGGCAGTGAGTTCTTCCTCCTCTACACTCTCCCTGCAGTTTTTCTGAACCATATTTATGGCACTGACCACCTTCCACCCTCTCTTATGCCTCAGGACTGTGAGCTCCTTGGGCAACCTGAACAAGCTTCTTGAGCTTTGTGCTTGACAGGACTAGGTGATGGCAGCCAGGATGCAACAGTGCCAAGTGTTAAGTATTTTTTCCAGGTGTTGTCCTTGGACCACCTGCAGCAGAACAATCTGGAGGGACTGTTAAAAAAATTTTAGAGTCCTGGGTCACAGCTGGCTCTGCCACTTACCAACTGTATGGCTTGCTAACCACTAGCAACGTTACTGCCTCATCTGTAAAGTGGAGATTATGATCCCTGCCTGACCTAGCTCCCAGGATGGGAAGAGTCACTGAAGTAACTGCAGAAGGGCTCTACCTGTGAAGGGCTAATCTTGATGGTTCTTCCTGTCTTGTCACTTTACCTAGGGCTGGGCTCCCTCCCCAGCACAGCTTAGTGAATCCTGCTGACTTTGCATTGGAGAGAAATGGGGACACAGGATGCCTGGAAGCAGCCTTCAAAAACAGCTGAAAGGTATGGTGGGCCACACTGCCCTTCACACAGACTCCAATGGGGTAGGGAATGAGAATCATTGATAATCCAGTGCTTCTCCAGGAGAGTCTCTTAAACACACAGGCGGAGGAGATTCTGATTCAGCAGTTTGGGCACCTTCATAATAAGGAACTTTTTTTTTTAAATAAAATTTTTTAGGTGAATTTTGTAGTGGTTGGGTCAGGCTGATACACCTGAGCCAACTTCTCAACTTTAACATCACTACAAGTGGGACAGCCTGCATTATATGTACTTCCCAGTGGGATGGAATAAGGAGGACCTGTACCACCTAGGAAGCATTCTTACCCCAAAAATGAGTCTAGTAGGCCTGTAGATCTCATTACCAATATCCAGGATATATGGGAAAGAAAGCCATGTTAAAAATGAACTTGAATGTAGTCAAGCCAAATGACTCTATTAGGACAAATACCTGATTTCTTCAACAAATATGATGGGGTAAGGGAGCACAGTGAGGTGACTTGTAAATGAAAAGGGCCTTAAGAGACATGTCAACCATCTATGATGTGTGGATGTTTTTTGGATCCTGATGTAAGCCAACAACTGTAAAAAACATTTTTGAGATAATTTAGGGAAATGAACACAAACTGGGTATTAGATTTTAAGAAATTATTGCTAATTTTGTTGGTTTGATAATAATTTTGTTGTGTTAAAGATAATCTGTTAGACATACATACTGAAGTATTTACAGGTGAATTGATATTGTGCTTGGGATTTTCTCTAAAATTCATCAGCCAAAAAATAAAAATGGTGTGGGAGAGTAGATGAAATAGAATTGACATAATGTTGATAATCACTAAAGCAGGGTGATTGGTACCTGAGAGTTCATATTATCATTCTCCCTATTTTTGTAAGTTTGAAATTTTCCGTAATGGAAATTCAGAATAGAGAGGAAAGCCAATGCACAAAATGTTCCCAGTAGGCTCTGCTCACTCCCTCGTGAAGTTTATGTAGAAATTAAACGAGATAATATACAGGTGCTCAATAAATTCTGGCTCCTTTCATCCCTTTCCAAAAGCTGTCCTAGGGCAATCCGCTGTATTCCGGTTCACCAGCCAGGGGTCTGTTGCTGTGGTTATAATCTGCAACTGGACAGTTCATACTTGGTTTTCCAGAACACCGAAAAGTCCTAACTCTTATCCAAAGAAGACATTGGCCATCTTGGAATACTTATCAGAATTGGCAGCTGTTCATCAGGTTGGGGTAGGATAGATAGGAGGGTGCTGGCTGGTGTCCAGCCAGCTCCTTCCCACACACACCACCAGTTCTTGGGACTTTGAGACTGGGCCAAGGTCTCCCTCCAACAGCAAGGGTGGTTATGGGAAGTGCAAACCCCCAGAGCTGGGAAGGGGAGGGAAGAGGAATAGGAGTGTCTTCCCTGTGCCTCCTCTGGTCAACAGTCTTTAAATAATCCATTTATCTTTATCAGGGTTATAACTAAAATCTTAATTAACAGTGCCTGGTACATAACAGGCTCAAAAATGTTAGTTCTCTTCTCATCACACTTTAGCAGTTAGCACAGATAGACATTTGTTGACACTGAGCCAAGAATAAGAATGGGATGAAGAATAGGTGTTCAGAAAGCCAGGAAACACATCCAGGACATAAGGGAAGGGATACCAGGGCAGAGGAAATGGCGCTGGATTGGGAAGACAACCAACATTTGAAGAGGTGGGGACAGAGAAATTTAACACATTCATAACTTAGCCTAGACTGACTGAGCCTTGGCCAAACCACCCCTGAACCACCCTTTGACAGATAAGCCAAGAGTTGCCAATCCTTGATCAATGCAATGATATGAAATGTTCTCAAGGAGGCCATCTCCATCTACAGACACCAAATACAACCTCTGAGAAATGGGCCTGTAAAAGTCTGCTCTCAGTCGAATGCACTGCCAAGGAAAAAAAATGCCCAGTGTTTCCCAAACTTGCCTAAGCTTAGGAATCTGAATCACCAGAGGAAGGGCCTGGGAATCCAAGGACCACAGTTGATTCTTACGATCAGGCAAGTTAGGGAAGCTGGGGATTAAGACAGCATTTCTCAAAATGATGGAGCACCTGCATCAGAAGCACCTGGGTCACTTATTAGACCAAGTATAGATTCCCAGGCTTGACCCCAGAACCAGAGAAATCTGAATAGCAAGAGGTTGGTGCTTGGAGCCTGGAACATGCATTCTTTGAAGAAAGGTTTCTAGGTGATACAGGTGTGCCCTGCAGTTTGAGAATCATGGAAGCTTAGCATGGTGGCTAAGAGTATGGGCTCTGCAGTCATAATGTCCAGGTTCAAAGACTTATTTCACCATTCACCAACTTTGGGAGTTTAGGTAGATTACTTAATGTTTCTATATATATCAGTTTGCTTATCTGCAAAATTGGGATAATATTACATAATATGTACAAGTGGAAGCACTTGATGTGGGCCTTAGAATATCAACATACTAATTGTTATCTATTGTAATCTAAGAAAGAATCCTCTGTCCCTTTCTCTTCCAGACCCACTGCATTTTCTTGATATTTTTGCTATGTACTTCAGTACAGCCTGCCTTGTGACAGGGCTACTTATGTACATATCTGTCTCACCTCCTCAACTCTGTACTTCCAGAGGGCAGAGACCATGTCTTTTTAAAATGTTTGGATCCTCTGGGCTGTGTTACATGTTATATTAGAGTCAGAAGGGACTTTAGAGATCACCTAATCCAGTCCCTCATTTTACATATGAGGAGACTGAGGTTGAAGTATTTGCCCCTAGTCACATAGCCAGATGGTTGAACTATTGTTTGAGCTCTGACACTGCCACCTACCAACTATGCCATCTGAGTCCTAAATACTTCATCTTAAAAATGGACATGACGATGTACACTACTTAATAAGCAAGTGCTTTGTGAGTAAATACTGATAAGGAACTTTCTTGCAACCTGAAGAGTATTGTTACTATTACTGCTCCATATAATATGTATTGAATAACTGTGGTGAAGAGCAAGTTATCTAAGGATGCCAGAGTAATTATGAGGTCTGTTATTCACCTGTGAGGTTGACATAGAGTAGAGAGTTGGTCATGTCCTCCCATAGGATGGCCTTTGAAGACTCCATCAGTCAGAGCCTACCACTTTCAGACTCCATTTTCAGCTTTAATGACTTTTTAACCTTTTTCTCCAGCCTCTGATCCATTATCTTATCTTCTTACTCATGGCCTAACCCCTCCCTCCTAACTCAGCCCCCTTAGACCATTTACAAATTGATCTGACCCATCTCCATGGCTCTGGCCCTGGTGGATCAAGTGTTGAATATTATCAGAGACATCAGTTCCCACCCTCATAGGTTCTTAGTTTTTGGACATGAAGCTCTAGAAAGCATGGAACTCATGTATGGTATCCTTCAAGCTCTTCTTCAGGGTTTCCCTGATAACTGAGCAACCCAGTATTGACCCCCATCCCCTTATGGCCTTACCATCATGGTTGGCATTTCCTAGCGTCCATGGCTCGTCTGAGTCAAAATGAGTGTCTCCTCCAATGCCCGGACCAGGGAAGTAGGCATGGGCCAGGAATCCCCCTTCCCCATCAAATGGGGAACTGTCACCGTGGAAACCAGAAGCAAAGAAGATCATGATGTCTGCTTCCTTCCGGTCACTTTTTATCTCATGGTATGGCACCTCTTCGAAAGTCAGCGGAGTCACCTTCTGCCACACGTCAAAAGCCTGGCGAATAGCTTTCCGTGTGTCTAGCTCACCCACCTTCGGTGTGTAGTTGTGAATGCTAGTAAGAGAGAGGAGGAGGGTCAATAGGGAGGTACAGACAGGGTCAGAGACTAGCAGAGCTGAAAGGGACATCAGAGACCCATATGGCCCAGTCATCTTCAAATTTTGAACCCTAGAATTCTGCTGAGATGCCCCAGGGTCTAAAACATAGCCTGGTGGGCTCTAGGTCCCCACCCCAGCTCAATCAGAGCTGATTAAAGCTTAGCTTTAATCAATGTTTAATATTTGACCTCTGACAAAGTTTATGTTGAATACAGGGTTCCACTCCAATTTCTAGAAAAAATTAAGTTGGTGGATAGCACTTTCTAAGTTTTCTTCCCAATACATAAAATGTGTACCTTTATAAAAGTTATAAAAATATTTAACAGTGAAAATCTTAAGTGAAACATCCCTTTAAAAAAAAGTCTTTGGCACCAACTACTACTGCTTATCTACCTAGAAGCTAGTATGGGGTAGTATCTGATTTAATCAGTTATAGATTTAACTATTTAAGGTTAATATATCCACATTGAGTGGTTCTCCACAGCAGAGCATAAGTGATTCTGTCTGTGCCCCATGAACACCTGGGCAGAGATTGTTCACCCATTCCATAGGTAAGGAAACTGAGGTCCCAAGAGGTTGGGTGATAGACGTTAAGGTTTGAAGTCAGTTTTTTTCTCTTGATCCACTATACCTCTTCAGACCCTAAGAGTCTATCCAGTTTGTAACCCAGATTCTTCTTAAGTTTCCTTCTCTTGTCAGATTTCTGAAATAAGTCCTGTTTGGTCTTATCAGCAGCAGAGCCCTTAGTTCTTCAACTCTAATACAATCTGTCTTACATCCTATCCCTGAACTCAGGGGATCTACCTGGGATGGAATCAGAGCCTTGAGAGGTGCCAATCAGCACCCACCTGAGCCTGCCCTATGCCTGGCCCTTGCCCCAACCCTACTCTGAATCCTGATGTCTGAGTCTGCTGTGACGGACTCCACTATCCTTGTTCTTGGTCACTGGTCTAACTTGGGAGACTGATCCTGTTCTACCCTGCTTTTCCCAGATGGTCAAGGAATGATACTGTTGTGATTCGGCTCCCAGTTCTTTATATTCCTTAGGGAACAATTGGAACTCTGTGTTGGGAAGCTTGGGTAACGTCCATCAGGCTGAGTGGGGAAGGGATCCATATCAGAGGAAGTGGAGTTTGGCAAGCAGTGATAGGGAGAAAATGAGTTCAGCCATGGTTCTTTATCAGAGCTGAAAGTTACCGAACAATCCATACCCCCCTTTCTGTAACTAAAAACTATAGGAATTGAAACAGAACACAACTAATAAGCCCCCAAAGGACCAAATAAACATGAAGCATCCTCTGGAAGCCACAAGGAGGACAAAGCCATAGGCTCTCAGTGCCTGGCCCTAATGCTTACATACCTAGCCCTCAACCTGATCACAGACCCACTTACAGTATAAGCCTCAAAAAGTCAGACCAGGAAAAAACAGTAAGAGTGGAGCCAAAGCCAGGGAGGAGGAGAGGGAGTCAGAACACCTGTAGGTGATGTGTTTTTGCCTCCACTTCTGTCCAGTTAGGGCATAGCGCTTGTTTCTCCGTCTACGGCTTAAGTGGGGGTGATCAGGGACACCACATCGGGGTTTCTTCATCCACCTGGGCAGAAAGAACACACACACATACATATCCTGTGGTCACTGAACACTCCAGGAAGCTATTACAGAGTCCCCAGGCCCAGTCTGAATAGCACTATATATCCTCAACCTAGACTTTGGGACCCTGGCTGTGATGGGTTCCCCAACAGGAACGTGATTAACTGCTTCATTAATTCATTCATTTACAATGAGCTATGAAGAAACATTGCTCTGTTAGAGACTGGGAGTCATAAGACATGAGCTTGATGTTCCAGCTCCACTACTAATCACAGGAACCCAGGTGAGCAACTAAATCAACATGAGCCTTGGTTTCCTCATCTGCAGCATGAGGTTTACAGTTCTTGCTGTTCTAAGGTTGTAGTGAACCTTAAAGGAGGGAGTATGTATGAAAATGCTCTGTAAGTGTAATTAGATCACATTACTCCCTGGTTTGAAACCCTCCAGTGATTTCCCCAAATAACCAGAATAAAATCCAAATTCCTCACCTTGGTCCATAGGGCCCTGCATGATCTGGTCCCTGCCTACCTGTCCAATGACATCTTTACCCTTCTTCCCCTCATGTACTCTCTTCCAGCCTCAATGGTCTTTTTGCTGTGCCTTGAACATGCTCAGATTATTCCCACTTCAGGGTCTTTGCATTTGCTGTTCCCTTTGCTTGCAATGCTTTTCTTCTTCACATGGTTTGTTCCCTTCATAAGGTCTCTGCTCAAATGTTACCCCTTCAGGAACCCTCCTACACTGCTGGTGGGAATGTAAGCTAGTTCAACCATTGTGGAAAGCAATATGGAGGTTCCTCAAAAAACTAAAAATAGAGATACCATTTGACCCTGGAATCTCACTTAGAATATACCCAAAGAATACAACTTCTCAGATTCAAAAAGACATATGCACCCCTATGTTCATTGCAGCACTTTTTACAACAGCCAAGATATGGAAGCAACCTAAGTGTCCATCTGTAGATGAATGAATAAAGAAGATGTGGTACATATAAACAATGGGATACTATTCAGCCATAAGAAAGAAACAAATCCTACCATTTGCAACAACATGGATAGAGCTGGAGGACATTATGCTCAATGAAGTAAGCCAAGTGGAGAAAGACAAATGCCAAATGATTTTCCTCATTTGTGGAGTATAACAATGAAGCAAAACTGAAGGAACAAAATGGCAGCAGACTCAGAGACTCCAAGAATGAACTAGTGGTTACCAAAGGGGAGGGGTGTGGGAGAGTGGGTGGGGAGGGAGGGAGAAGGGGACTGAGGGGTATTATGTTTAGTACACATGGTGTGGGGGGTCACAGGGAGAACAGTGTAGCACAGAGAAGGCACATAGTAGATCTCTGGCAACTTGCTGCACTGATGGATAGTGACTGCAATGGGGTATGGGTGGGGACTTGATAATGTGGGTAAATGTAGTAACCACATTGTTTTTTCATGTGAAACCTTCATAAGAGTGTATATCAATCATACTTTAATAAAAAATTTTTAAAAAATGTTACCCCTTCAGAGAGGACTTCCCTACCCACCCTATCTAAAATAGCCTCCCCTTCCCCATCCCATCACTGTTTATTCTGCTTAATTTTTCTTCATAGCATTTATCATTGCCTGAAATTATATATTAGCTGTTTTGTTTATTCTCTGATTCACTTACCAGATTCTAGGCTCCATGAGGACAGGAACCTTTCCTGTATCCCCAGGGCTGGCACAGTGCCTTACACTGGTGTTCAGTAATAATTTGTTGAATGAATGAATGAATGAATGAATGCGAGCTATCCAGCAGTAGAATGGTATAACTAGGAAGACAGCAAATTCTCTTTCACTGTAAGTTTTCAAAAAGTCACCAAACAAACACACAGAAGTGGCTAAACAGCTATGGGAGTTGGAACATAATTCAGGCAGTACTTATGATACTGTACTGTGATTTTTAAACCTCTTAGTCTATTGTCTCTATTTAATGGTAAAATTCTTTGAGGACAGGAACTATATCATGTTCATTATTGTGTCCCCAAAAGATAGCCCAGTGCTAGGGACTAAGTAAAGTCTGAGAACTGTTTGTTGTCAGGTTAAGTCACATTAGGGAACAGTAAGCCTGGGATATAAAAAAGGGGCCAGGGTTGGAGATTTAAGATTTAAAAGATCACAACTGATTGGGGCCCAGGCTCTCCTTGCCTTTCATGTCCCTCTACTAGCCTAACGACCAGCTCACTGGTGTATCTTGAGATTGCTGAGGGACAACAGTATGACCTCATTTGCAGTTGTTGAAAGCAGTTGCCATTGGCAATATAGAGAAAAGGATACAGACTATTTTAACCAAATATTAAAAGCCCCTTGAGGGACTTAACTGAGTCTTACTCATCCGGCTCCACATTGCCTAGAGTGTCCTATACTCAGAAATCAATAATAAAAGACATAATAATAACAATACTATGCATAGTATAAACGTTTATAATTTTCACAGGGTTCATTTAAAAACATTTTTTTTTTGATTCTCAAAACAATTCTGTGAGATAACCAGAAACCATTTATCCCCATTTTACAGATGAGGTAAAAAATACACAGGCAAATTGAGTAACTTGCAAAATACAGCAAACAGTGAGGCAGGACTGGAGCTTAGTTAAATGAATAAATGAATTATTCACTAAAGCAAGTTAATAAACAAAGGCTGGGGCTTTTCTTTTTCTTTCCATGCGTAGCATAAGGTTGGGTTAGAGGAACTACGTTTGTTGAATGAATAGATGATGAGTGAATAATGTGTGACATTTCCCCAGGTAGGCATTCAAAAATACTACTTTAAATTGCCAATCTAACTTCCTTTCACTGATAGTCCCTGGGAAGGGAATCAGGAGCCATCTCTGCTGCGGCAAAGAGGAGCTAGACCTGGAAGAGCCCTCAGGGAGGAAGGAAGCCCAGAGGAAGACGATGACTGCCCAAGGTCACAGCGCTGGAGCTGAAACTCAGGTCTCTAAATTAAACCCTCAAATGCCCTCTCCACAGGTCTGGGATTAAGTGTGAGTGCCTTCCTCCTTCCCATGCCTCCAAAACATTGTTCCTGGCCTTCCTACAAAGAGGTGAGGGCAGAGCTGTGATGGGAAATGCCATCCTCCTACCGCGGATCCTTCCCTCTGCCTCCTCCTCTTGCCATCCACCTGCCACTCCCTGAACCCTGTCCAACAGGCCTGCGGCTTCTGGAACAGAGTAAAACCCAAGGCCAGGTGGTGCCTCAGCAGAGACAGTGCCCCTGCCCCAGGGTGCACTGCCATGAGGCCTGGACAAAACCCTCAATAACCTCCGCTTTGAAAGGTGGCTGGGCTCTCTTTAACCAGCTCACTCCTGAGGCCACTGGGCCAAGAGGTCCACTGCACTCACATCATAGGGGTAGGTAAATGTATTACTCAGAATTCCACAATCTCACCGGCAGAGAATCCCAAGAATAGAAAATGTTCACGTACAATTTTAGGATCATAAAACCCCAGACTCACCAAAATTTGAAATCTTGAAGCTTAGAATAATGGCATCTAGAATTTGAGAGTCACAATCCAGCACTCCCCTTTGTAAATGAGTAAGCTGGGACTCAGAGAGATGATTCTGTCAAGGGGTGACTCACCCAAGGGGTGGAGTGATCCTGGGCCATAATCCGCTGGATCTCCATCTCTCTAGCCACCAGCTTCCTGCATCCTCCCGCATGGGGCCCAGCTCCTTCCCTTCACCTGGGCTCAGGATCCCACCCCTCACCCCTTTAGGAGACTAACCCCTGCTCTTGGCTGAGGCTTCATTGTGGTGATGGCTTTTCTTACGCAGCTTTAATCACTTTCGGGGCTATTTCTTACACAATTGTAAGCATGCTCAACTGTCTCCCATCTTAATACAAGCAAACAAACAAACATTCATCTCTTTCAAGCTAGTGTCTTGTCCTCCTTCCCTTCACTGTTAAGTTTCTTGAAAGTTTTTCCTACACTTGCCATCACTATTTCTCTCCTCTGCTCTCCGCACCACAACCTGACTTTGCCTCTGCCATTCTGAGGAGGTTACAGTCTCCTATCCAACTACTCCGGCAGCAGCTGACCCTGTGGCCACTTCCCCTTTCCCTGCCATGACATCACTACCCCTGGCTTCCTCCACCTCCCTGGCTGCTCCTTCTCAGCTTGCTTTGTGGGCTCCATTCCCAGCACTCCTCTCTCCTTCCCCTTTATACCCTCCTTGAGTCACCTCATCATTGTGGTTTGGCTTATTTGTTATTACTTCCTAAGCATCTCCCTGAAACCCAGGGCTTCCTTCTGAGTTCTCTACTGGTGTAGTCAGATCATTGAGTTTTTCACTAAATGGGGAGTGAGGGAGATCACAGGATCAAGCACAGTGCCTGACACATGTAGGCATTCAGCAAATGTTCGGTAAATGGAAAATATGGAACAAGAGTTGTCCACCGTTGTCATTCAAGAGTTCTCTGTATCCAGTAGGAGGTGTACAGCTCAGGGAATGCCAGAGGGGTGACTCATAGAACCACAAGTTCTTAGAGTCAGAGGAGATTTAAGACCATCTATAACAAAACTTCACTGTGCAATAAGAAAACTGAGGTCCAGGAGGGTTAAGAGACTTGTCCAAAGTCACACAGCAGGTTTATAGCAGAGCACATTCTCAGCTCACATAGGAAAGGGTGCCTCAGGATAAGCTTCCCAGGATGACACTACAGGAGTAAAGATGGGAAGGTAGGATGGGCATGGAATATACACGAGGCCATGACAAAGGTGAACCCAAATGGAAGTCTGGAAAGTTCAAAGGCACAATGTCCTATGCAAATCTTACTCGATTGTTGTCTGATCCAATACACCGGTGACTGGGATCCCGTAAAACTGCTGCATAGTGGAGACTGCTGACTGTAAGGCCTTCCCTGAGTGCAACGCAGAGGCCCATGAATCATAGGGAAGCAGATAGCCATATGACTTTAACCAGTTCTGAAAGACACGTGAAAGAGAAGGATGCATTATGTGGGGAAGGCTCTGTTCTACCTGGGCAGAGATTTGCCCTTGAAACTAGGGATCATTTTCCCCAAGGAACTTAAGGACTCTTGCTCTGATTTCTTCTTCCATCATTCCCTCTGAAGACTCTGTCAAATTAATCTCCAGAAAATACAGCTTTTGTTGGCTTACTCCTGTTATAAACCTTTCATTGGATCACTACTGGCTACAAAATAAAGATTAAATTTGTATTCAAGGCTTTTCAGTACTCTCCTTCTTTATTCATTTATTCAGTGACTCCCACTGACATATGACTAGACATGTAAGAGCACAAGAAGGGTTCATTCTGTGAGGTAGAGTGGCCTGTGACAATGTTGTACCTACCCAGAAAACCATTGTATCTAAAAGTCAGAGTCTGCTGAAAAATCATGTTGCAGAATATTTATTGGCATGAGATTATATACAATCTTTATTGCTAACCCCTCCAAAAAAGCAAGCCATTATAAATAAATATAAGTAAAAATAGATAAAACACTGTATTGTTTAATTTAAATATAAATACATAAATATATGCATAGAAAAAGCCTAGAAGGACACACATAAAAAATAATAGTATAGTTATGTACGAGAATTCCTTGTTTTTAGGAAATACACACTGAATTATTTTGTCTTATATAGGGTGCGTGATGTAAGCAACTTTTTCTTACATGGATTCAGAAAAAAAAATATATATATAGGGAAAGAGCAGAGAGACAGAAGACAAATATAGTAAAATTTGGGAATCTGGGTGAAGGGTATTCAGGAATTCTTTGTCCTATTCTTGAAAACTTTTCTTAAAGTCTGAAATGGTATAAAACATTTTTTAAAATAAAAAATAATTAGCTGTGAATATCCTTTGTTATAGTGTCATGGGGGATTATTTTTTCCCTGTGCTTTTCTTTTTTTCTAAGTTTTATGCATGGAGTCATTCTTTTAGAAAAGGAGAAAACCTTCAAAGGGCAAGAAGAATCTTGGGTGAAGAAGCATAACAAACAGCAAATCTGAAGGGCAGCAAGGTACAGATGATTATTCCCACCAACAGGCATGAGGGGATGGAAATATGAAGAAGCCAGAGTACCAGGAAATATCTGTGGCACCAGCTGGAAACTGAGGGAAGCCCCCATGTGTCTATTGAATCCACAAGTATTTACAGGATCGCTAGCTACCTGTTGGTCTCTAAGCCAGAAGGAACCTGCCACCTGTCCTCAGAGGATCATACTGAACACAAGTGAGATAATGAAGGAAAAAGAATTTAGGGAGCAGTATTATTCCCTTCCACCTATCGTTTTTGTTTCTTGTTTCTATATGAACAGTATCACCGTGTCTGTATTACTTGTCAAATCAAACCACTTTTGGAAGGAGGCAGAGACCAGAAACTATAAATAATTATTTATTTCACTCAAGGTGACTATAACATCTTTACTGCTTTGTGATAAAATCCACATGACTGATTGAAAACGAACTAGTCAGAATAATAAAGTCTTAAAACACCCACAACAGAGTGACAACCTGACTTCTTTGAAATTTGATACCTAAAGCCTGTTTTTCACTCCAAGTTATGGCACAGGATATTAATACTTCTTGCACTTCCCCAAACATTGAATCTCTTTTATACCTTTGTAATGTTTTCCACTCTGCCTGGCATACTTCCTAGTTTGGTGAAAACCTTACATTATTTTGAGGTTCAGCCCAAAAACTACTAGCTCAGAAGACTTCCCTTACTCCCCAGCCTAGGTTATTTTCTTCCTCTTCTGTACTCCCTAAATCCCCTATTATAGATAGTATAGATCTTATAATATTGGGCTCTAATCATTACTTTGTATATCAGACTCTGAGCTCCTCAAGGGAAGGGTCTGTGTCTTACTCATCTCTCTATATCCAGTGTCCAGGAAGTGCCTTACACACAGTAGCCATTCATTATGTCTGTTCAACAAAAATTACTGGGCGCTTACTACATGCTAAGGACTGCACAAGGCTCTGGAGATAACAAAGATGAATAAGGAGCTCACAGACCAACAAATAAACCCACCATGAAAATACAGTGCTAAAAATCAGCTGTGTGCAGGGTTCTATGGCAAAACAAAAGAGGGGTGTCTTGTCCACATAGGGGGATGGGGATGGGGAGAAAGGGGAACTCAGGGAAAGCTTCCAGGTGGAGGTGGGATCTAAGCTGAGTCTTGATGAAAACAGCATGTGCAATTGCCTGAAGGCATGGGGGAGCAAGGCACATTCTGAGCAGTATTTAACATGGCTAGAATTTGGGGGAGGGGAGGGTGGCAACAAGGGGAAAGGATTGGAAAGGAGGGAAGTGGAGAGAGATGATATACAGTAAGCTGTCCACAAACTAAACAAATTACAGAGAATCACTTGTGACTTGACTGTGGCCTAGGACCACCCAAAAGGCTCTACAAATGGATATGACAGGGCAACTGATGAGTTACCCATCCATACATCAGGGTGCTCTGACTTCTATTCCCAGCTTAAGTCATGTTGTCAAAGCATTAAGCCCCTGCCCCATATTCTCTGACAGCCAGAATGTCACATTACATTCTCCTTCACGGAAACTTCGATTAAGAACTGTGTTGGATACAATGGAATATTATTCAGCCATAAAAGAAAAGAAATCCTGCCATTTGCATCAACATGGATGGACCTAGAGGGTATTATGCTCACTGAAATAAGCCAGGTGGAGAAAGACAAATACCGTATGATTTCACTTTTTTTGTGGAATATAAAAACAAAGCAAAACAGAAGGTACAAAGCATCATTAGACTTCATAGATACTGAGAAGTGACTTACTGAGTGGTTACCAAAGGAGAAGGGAATGGGCAGGTACGGAGGAGGGGGAGTGGGACTGTTTAACCACTGTGATGTACACTTGATAAAATTTTAAAAAATCAGAAAAAAAAAAGAATTGGCTTGAATAAACAGGGTATGTGGTGTGGTGTGAAAGAGGCACACAATCTTGAGAGTGAATCCTGACTTCACCACTTACAGGCTGTGTGATCCTGGGCAAGCTGAGCTCCAGTTTCCTTATCTGTAAAATATAAACAATAATTCCTCCCCAACAGGACTTTCATTAAGATGCAATGAACAAATACGCCTGACACATAATCACTCGAAGGAGCTTGTTATCCCTTTGGATAGAGTTTTTGGTTTCTGTTATCTTCTGTAGAAACAAGGTAGAAACATGGTCTTTGACTCCTCTGCCTTTTGAAATCTAGTCACCCCAACCTCCCACATTCTCCCTGGACCAAGAACCAGTCCTTGAGGGTCCTACAGTGGACAGTATGTCTGTCACTCCATGTCTGCTAGTTGTTAGGTGACCCACGGACATGACCATCTCTCACACAACACTGGGAGCACTGCATGCAGAGAAATGACAGCTTGTATTTGAACTATATACTCTTCACCCTGTAACTCAACTTTCTTAGGACCAAAAACAGTTACTTTCTGTTAAGCTTTAGCTTGATAAAAATGTTTTTTCTCTACAGAAGTTTCCACATGCTTTCTGGTTCCAGAAAATGAACAATGGGTAACCCAATGGTTTTTTCACTTTTGGCCTTTCTGTCAGGAATCTTTCAGCCCAATTTATAGCTTAAGTGTTGAGCATGGTGATGCTTGGAAGTAATTATTAATTTTTTAAATCTTTCCAACCACCTAGTTATGTGGTGGCTGGAAAGATTAAAAAGTCCTTAAAAGTCTTATTTAAAAGCATGTTTCAATCTGTAAAATTGCCTCAAATCCTTCCAAAAAGAGATATGGTACAAATATGAAATAAATCCAGTTCCTCCCTATCAGTGTTCTCTGCTAGTTCTCTAGACTCCAACTAAGATGAATTTTGGCATTTGGAAAATGGTTGGGGATCTTTGGACAGAGACTGCTACCAGCAGCCAACTGAGTATTTTTTGAGGACCTACCTCTAAGCTAGCATAGAAGATTGTTAAATCTTTTCTTCTCCTGCCCTCATTACTGTAGGAGACATGGAATAGGGAATTTTTAGCATAAACGTACTCCATTCTTCAAAGACTTGGGGGAGATGAAAGTAGCTCCTCTCAGTAAAGGACAACCTGGTTTACTCAGCTCCTTTTCTGGAATACGCAAGCAAGAAGTTCAGAGCCAATCAAGGTCCATTATGAAGGTCACAGAGTCCATCAGAGCAGCATCAGGAGTTAGGATCTAAGGACTCAGGTCCTAGGCAAATGTCTGGGTCAGGACCAAACATTGCAATGGATCAGCCTTCTCTGGGCTCTGCTTTCCTTCCAGGTTTATTGGGGACAATCCTTAGAGCTCAGGGGTAGACCCCAAAGAGGGGAAAATGGAAGGGGGAGGGGATGGTCAAGTGATAGCTCTAAGCCAGAGAATAGGGCATTGATATTGGATCTAGGAGGGTGTGTGTGTGTGTGTGTGTGTCTGTGTGTGTAAAGGATAGGAGGCTAAGGGCTATGGATTAAGGACCAAAGAATTTGTGATCGAGGTAATCCTCTGACTTCTCTGGGCAGATGCCTCTGATGTTGGAGCAAGTGTTCTACACTCCAGTCATTCCAATTTCAAAACATTCCCTGCCTTTTCATACTTGCAGGCTCTTTTCTGCTGTTTACAAAGCCCAGTCTCTCTATGCATGTCAGCAAACTCACCCTTCAAGGTCTAGCCAAAATGTCTCCTGCTTTGGTAAATCTTCCTTAACTTCCCCTGGCAGAATAATGGGTACCCTCTTTACTTCTGCATGCTTTACTTCTTGTCCACTCTAAACCCAACTATCACAGTGCATCATACCTGGTTGGTTGGTCGATGTGTTTTCCCCACCAGTTTGAGTCCCTGAGGAGAAGAGACTGTCATATTTATTTTTTAACTTGCTACAGTACTTAGCACAGTGCCTGGCACAACAAACAGTCATTGAATGAATGAATGAACCAACAGTTGGTCTAGGAGTCACTGTCTGGGAACCAAGGAAGGGA